CATGTGGTCACTGTGGTACGGCAATGGCATCGTGGGATTTTTGTTCTATTCTGACTCATTTTACCAATAATGCATGTTCGGTTAACCATTTGTCAAACATCTAAGATTTTTATTATTCTTTGATTAGAAATTTCCATCATAAATTGTATCACGAATTGCATCCGGCAACTGCGATGTAATTTTGAAACAGATGACAGATTTGCCTAACACATTGCAAAATGTGATGTGATAACTGTTCACTACATGTAATAAAGATTTGTTACTTATCACACTTTGACTCGTTCATTGCGATAAATCCATTAAATGATGAACCACTTTTGGGACAGGACTGATGTGAAAATTATGAAAATGATATTACTGATAACTGCCTCTTTGAGAATCACAAAAGGAAGAAAAATCTATCCATCATGACGGCCTAGCCAGACAGGAGGCTGCGATTTTCAGCGAATAATCAGAACAAGAATGAGACCAGTGCTTAAGATTTTGGGACATTTGATTTCTATCCACGGCCACCTCATTGCACTGGTAATTTCAAAATAGAAACAGAGATTCATTTTGTCTTTGATCTGAGTTGTGTTTGATATGTAGATTTGATTAAATATTTATATCGGCAATATCCACTTTAAAGTGATATCGATTCGTTGACGTATCCTAATTGACTTTAAATTGATTTTTGTTTTTGAGGGGGGTGCAGTGCCTCATTGGAATACTCTCAACTTGCACTGTATCCATTGGAAATGCACCTAAGTTCCCCAGAAAAGCTAAAAAAACAAGAGCAAAACCCAAAATAAAAACAAGGAAACTTCGGATCAAATTAGAAAAACTAACAAACTGCAATTTTGATTGCCTCTGAGCTAAGGGGAAAATTTTAGTGAAAAAGTGGTAAGAAACAAGTCAAGGTGAACTGCAGGCATCATTTGGAGGAAGTTGACTGAGCTGTACATGCTACAATTGTTCTAGCTGCAAGTCCCATTTGAGTGAGTGGTGTCTGTAGCGCCACCGTTGGTTTTGAATGTTGAGGGTTCCAGGGCCACATCGTCATCAACTCGATTGACTAGCTAGCACTGGCACACACACGCTGAATAAACGCACTCACGGTGAGCGCACATTGCTCACTTGTCAGTGCAGTGACCCACACTGTTAGACTGTTAAAACCCAGGGAGGTACATGTAGATGTGGCGCACTTGGAAGTACATGTATCATGTTGATGATTCCAGAAGCAAGACTAGACCATGGCGTTTCCTTGGGGCCTGTGTCTTTTTATAATTGCCCGCTGAGTAGGTAGGATGCTTTCAGGAAAACCGAGTTCCTAATGGAAAGTGTACACTGAGTAAATCAATCATGATAGCGATATTAATCAACCATTTTCTCACTTGTATCATAAAAACTGTTATTTTAGATTCTGGGTTTTTTTTACTCATAGTGACTGTGCTTCTACATGTAGTCTACCACACAGTTACATCATGATAAGCAAGTCAACAGTGCAATTCCATCTTTTGACAAAAACTTTGATGGCTATTCACTTTTGGTTGTTTCATATGTCCTTGCTTTATTGGCTTGTTTTTTTTAATGCTTTTTTGACCAATGGCCATCTGTGGACGACGTGTTATGTTACTCATCAACAACAGTCTCGTAGTAAGTTTATCAGCCAGAGAGTGTAATTTTATCACTACCTTTGTTCCAAGTGCAGGGATAGTCTCACAGTAGAAGGGCATCTTTATGCACAATCCCCCCTCCTTCCTTCTGCCCTCCAGTCATAATGTACTGCTCATTGTAATTGTCGTCATGAGTACAGAGCAAGCCCAACAGATGGGATCATCTACTCTTTCTTTTTAAACTTGTTTCCCAATTGCCTTCCCCCTCCGCCGGACCTTTCCTTGTGTTCCTTGAATTCCTACATGTATATTGCCCTACCTCTGCCCGTCCTTCCATCCCACTAGCATTGACAAATAAATATAAACAGGTCCCCTCCCCCCATAGCATAGGGAGTTTCACCCCGAACTTTTCTGTCTGTAATTTTTTTTTTTTTTTGCTGAGTCGGTTGGTTCCTTAGGTCAAGTACCCCAACACAAGATTGTCAACTCTATCTGTCCTCTCCCTGCTTGTTCTCTGCCCAACTGCACACGTTTTTCACACTCCAACTGTTCTATTCTCAATGTGGAAACAGCAGCCTGCAAATTTTGAAAGTGTAGTGACCTCTAACGGTACAGTGTCATCCATCCTGACTCTCCCCATCTCCCCCCCCCCTTTTCATACCAGAGGGGTTGATTGTGCAATTGTAACCAGCCTTTTGCACACCTTATCAAGTAATAAGTCATAACGTCCTTCATCTCATACATATATACGCGATGGGTTGGAGTGACAAGGCAGGTAGCCCCAGGGGAGGCACCCGAATCAACGATACAGATACAGCTGATGTAAAGGAAAGGAAAAAAAACAAAGAAGTGAAAAACTGGAAATACATATACAAGAGCAGGCAATCGCACAAGGTTGCCTGTGTTACAGCTCAGATCTGCTCCCTACACTCCCAGAACCTTTTTTTTTCTCTGCCGGACGATTCCTATCCCATGTCAATGTGTACTCATTGAGTTGGGGACATGAGCAAATTGTTGGTACATGTACATTTACATGAACAGCCCATACTTGTGAGTCATTATGTAGCCAGGGCCCGAAGATACAGATTTAATATTGCTTTATTTTTGTGTGTTTGTATTGATCTATAGAGATGTGCATCATTAGGAGCCTGGATTGATAAATTTCAAAGTCCTTTGGAGTTCCCTCAGTGGTTGTACAATAAGTACAACCATTGAAGGCCCCAAGGCTGTTTGTCTTGTAGTCCCCACACTGTTCTTCCTATCCGACAATGCGGCGGAACCAATGCTCCAATCAGGGCCTGTCTCTAGTTTGCCAAGTCGATGACCGCTTAGAATTACAAGGCACCAGCAGACCTTCGGCACTCTCAGTTTTAATGTGAATTAATTAGTGCTTACTTCAAATTTGTCACGTATGTCGGATTTCATTGGCACAGTATGCCCTTGTTGAGTTAAATAAGCAACTCCCCCAAAAAAGGGAAGGGGGGAGGTGAATGCGCTTTGTCACATTTCAAATTTCATATTGGATTTCGTTCCAGTAATTTTTTTTAGCCCCCACAAAGTCCTTTACGTGTCGGCCCACCGAAGCAAATGAAAAGAAAATACAGCAAGTTCAATGAACGCAAGGTCTGGCGCAATTATTTTGGTACACTTGTAATCCATACGAATGTACATGTGCATGTAGTGTGCAAGATGGATGTGTGTGTTTGCCTTTGAAGTTGTTATCCTGTCTGAAACGGTGTGGGGCACTAGACTGTTTGTGTGGGGACTGTGTGACGTGAAACACAAAGAGAGAAAGCTGCCTGGATCCATGTCTGAATATCAAAGATTGTTGTCTCACAAAGAAGAACATATTGCTTTTCTGTCCCTTTTTTTTTTCCATTCTTTTTTCGTTCATCAGAAAACCAAACACAATAATTGCCGTGTGCTATTCTTGAAGTTATCATCTGTCTTTGATACTGTGTCTGGTGATTATGGAAAAGAAGACAAGTTGTTCATCTTTTTGTTTCTTCTCTTCAATCAGTTTTCTTTGAGCCGTGTTTCATGGGTAGAGGATGGACAACTTGCATTAGAATCTGGCGTTGGTCCTAGTCGCACAGAGCATTACGGCATGACACGAGAACCTTTTGAAATGCGGGAGAGACTGCGCACTCCCCAAGGGACAGACTCAAATTGACGGCGATGACAGCAAACGGGTTCACGGCTACGGGTTTAGGGAGCCGTTTGTCACAATTAAACACCAGTTAGGGGCCCCCCTCGTTTGTCATGTGTCAAAGCCTGCAATGGGCAGAATCGGAGGTGAGAAACGGTAGCCAGGTCCGTGATAGTCGGTGGAGATGATGTAATGCTACATTGTTAATGGGACTACGGGCCATTAGGTAGTCGGTGCAGTAAACCCTAACCACAATGCAATAGGGAAACCTGTCTTACAAATTCAGTCATTGCTGGTGTGCAGTGACAGTAAAGTATTTTGGCATGTCAGATTCCTTCTGTAGTCATTCTTTTGGAGATTATATTAATGAGGTATATAAGGATGGTTCAGTTCTCTGGCTTTGGCTCATTTTAAACATCTAAAACTATATTTTCAAGACCCAGGCATTTGTTAGTCACATTTTGTTTAAACTAATTTTCTTTACTTTTTTTTTTGAAAGTTCATTTTGGACTGATGTGTGATGTTTCATTCTCCAATGGAGGGTTTTCTTCTGTAATGCAAATACATGTATTCCATGACATTGTGACATTGTACACGTCTCATTGAACATTGTTTGCCATATTGCATTGCTTGAGGGTGTTGTCATACTTCCTGCTTAACCCACCCTTCCCCTTTTGCTCCTGAGTTGCTGTTGAGTCACTGGGTTTGGGTCTGAGTCCGAGTCTCGAGTCACAGGCTGAAATCATTTGGTTAGATTCTACAGTATTGCTCCTTGTGTTGAGCAGACGGGCACAGCTGCATACATGTATGTGCGCAGCCGCATAGGTGCAGTATCCAAGACAGCAGCAATCAAGACAGCAAAATGATCACAAACGCTCTAGCTGAGCAGTCCCTGTGCTTACCTACATGTACATGTGTTGATGGTTTCCTTCCCGATGACTGTTTGGAAATGAACATTGGGGACATCGCCACGGAAACAACTCATGATAATTAATCCTTGATCCTTTTGTACATGTACCAGTAGATGGGACTGACTTAATATTCTGAAATTGCGACTTGATATGGACTCAAGTCTTAGTCTCGGACTCAAGTTGTCCAACTCTTCCGCCCCCATCTTCCAAGAGCAAAGATGAGTGGGGTCCTTCCCACCCCTAATGATGAACCATATGCCCCCTTGTGGGCTGGCCAGTCATTGATAGATGTTGTTCTCTTGAAACTCAATTTGCCTTGCTCCTCCCCTCCATCTCTTTCTTCAGATCGAGGAATGCCACAGCCAGGGGTGCATGGGTCTATCACAAGGGGCCTGTATGGGTGGTCGTCAGGAGAACAAGGTGCGTTGACTTTCATGATTTCCTGATTCCCTCCCCCCAAACAAAGTTATTGCCAGAACAAGGCAGTAGTTAGTCTGATTAGCTTGCATAGATCTGGCACTTTTTATACACGCAGGCTGTGGACATTTGATGGACAGATGTGACTGGTCCCGTACTTCGCTGTACCCTTGGCGAAGACAGTTTTACAGTTATGTACATGTACAGTCTTGCGCGTCATTCATGCTATGTACCCGTATTCAAAGATGCTTTCCTCTTATGCTAACACATTATGGGTTTTGTGCAGATTCAACTAAAATTGTTCGTGTGTCCCCACTGAGTGTGTACCGTAGATGTACTTGAATTAGTTGTGACACACTAGTTGCCCTACCTTGACTTTTTTGAGTTTTTTTGTACGGACAATTTTTTGTACAGAACACAACAGCAGTGATTACCTGGCAGATCAATCATTACTATTCTGACAGTTGCATTAAGTTGCCTGGATTGGTGAAAGTACCAACATGCTTCCAGTACCACTACTGGTAGGCTCAATAATTTATTCAACCATGTGCTTTTTTTGTTTGATGTACTCTATCTTTTGAGGAGAAGCACATTCTTACGGAGAGTCCAAACACTGACTTTTCTTCATCTGCCTCTAATGTGACCTCAGCTCTTAGAACCCAATTTTTGTGATGATTTCAGTATATCAGACTTTGTCTTTCACCTGTGTAATTACATAAGCAGTATGTACTCAACGCTCACTGGTACAGTTGTCTCAGCCCTTCGTCTCTGGAACTTGTCAGGGTCATCTTGCCAGTTCAACACTGGAGGAACTATCAGTTACATGGAATTTTGGCTAGAGGAGATGTATTCTTCATATTAGGTGTGTCCTTCACTGAAATTACAGATAGGTATATGACTGCAGTTTCTCAACGTGTGGTAAGCTTATCTGATCTATCCTTTGGTGACTGGCTCAGTTAATTGGTTCAAGTCTGAGTCCACTTCTTGAGTCAGTTCATGGGAATCTGAGTCGTGAGTCGCTTGTTAAAAACTGGAAAATGCTGGTATGGTATGTACATACATGTAGGTTCATCATGTCACCAAAGCTGAGCATACTGTCGTGCTAATGCTCTTCCATCAGAGCAATGTCATTTTTACCTTACAGGGCTGCTAATTTGCCACTTTTTTGGCTAGTGAGAGAGAGACAGAGAGAGCCCATTGGAAAGCAATTAGATTGATGGGTGCTAATGTGGAGATAGATTGGTGGAGGGGGGAGGGAAGATTGTAGAAGTGGGAAAAGAAGTCAGGGAGACTGAGCGTGCTCTGTCATGTGTTGCTGAAGGGTGATCAGTGATAGCTTGCGTTGAGTTTTCTTTGGGGGGAAAAGCACAGCTGTGAGCCATTTCTATGAAAATTAAAAGGTTGTTATTCCATTACTGCATGTATCTTTATTTGATCTCTGGACTGCCAGTAAGCTAATCAATCAAAATTGACCAATGGGTGAATTGCCTAGTACAAGGACTGTACTGTGACACTGAAGGGAACACGTGGGCTTGTTTGGTAGTGCTATGGAAGAGGATTACTTCTCTGTTATGTGGTATACAAATACAGCATGGTTTGAGGGGAAATAGTGGGAATTACTGGTCCTGAGGTGTAGGTCAGCTTGACTACCAGCTTGACTACCTCTCGACGCGAAAACCATGCTGTATTTGTTTTACTACACTTCATAAATATTCAAACAGAAATCTCATGTTATTTGTACTCACAGCCGCCATTGTTGTTTCTCAGCTGCTAAATTTCCATAGTGGATCATGGAGTGCAGATGTGCATAGAAAAGTAAACAGGGCTTCATGGTCTGGTGCTGACATAGGTTTTGGGTCTTTACTGTCATAGTTAATAGGATACAACTCCAGACTGGTTCCGTATAGATTACATGACACAGACTACATATTCCAGAGGGTTCCGGATGGATGTTTTGGTGCTACCAGAAAAAAATACCACGCAGCAGCATACTCACCACTGTGACGTCTTCTGGTTGCGTATCATTCTACGTCCCAGATGCGAGGTGGAATCGGCCAATGATGTGCTCCGATTTGCTCATGAATATTTATAAGGTGTAGTAATACATGATTAGGAGTGGTTTAACCCATGTGTATATGTTGGGAAAGCATGAGCTTAGCATGGCATGCATTATTTTCTTTTTTTTTTTCATGTGTCGTTATAGTAATGGCATTTTCCATCTACAACAAATGGCGGATGGGACTTGTAGTTCTGGGCGTTCTTACAGGTACGCCATACTCTTGTCTTTCATTCTGTGGGGCGTGCTCATTTTTAACACGAGCAACAAACTTCAGTGTTGCTTTGGTCGATGTTAACATGTGCTACCTTTTGGCAGTGCCATAACCTACCGGTTAAAATGACAAAGAAATCTGCACTTTGGTAGGCCTTGTCTTTGGGGATAAAAACAGTGTTTGCATCTACACTGTGGCCTAGAGCAAGGCGTTATTGAGTACAGAGTTCAGCGTACACGTGCATCTGTGGTGATTTACATCTGTGCCTCAGCAACCAGATGAGACAGTCATTGTGACTGTATTCTTTCCTTGACCAGAAGCACGCCTTCACTGGCAAGAAAGAGACAGGCACGTCAACAGATTTTTTCTACCGTGACGAAGCACAGCGCAGGCACAAGGACTGTACAGTGCCACTGCACATGGTCAGTGCAACGCATGCTGAGCAAACCTGTTTGTGCACGCATTAAGTTCTCACCGAAGAGCTGTCGCCATGTAAAATTGTGCCATTTCTTGTTCCTGCAGGGAGCAAAGTAGGCCCGGTCATTGTGAATTGTATCCTATAATTCTTTGCTCATGTGGACCTTCCTTCTTGGTTTTACTGTACACATAGAATGCATCATATGAGATAGAAAGGTGCATCATTTTGCCAACTGAGTGAAGGATATTCAAGATATCTTGTCCCCAAGTAGGAACTCTGCAAAAACGTGTACTCTGCACGGAAGAAGTTCTTTTTAGACATGTTCAAACTGGCATGCTTCTTTTAGCTGCGATGGATAAGATTAAGTGTTTGCTCAGAGTTGGCTCTTACTGGCAATGTGTGATTGCGACATGAGGTTCTGGCCCATTAGTAAGATCTGTATACCTGTGTTCCCACAAAATGAAAATGGAGAGGTATTGTTGTTTGATGTCACTGAATAGAGCAGGACAAGAGCTGTCTGGTATTGTCCAGCCTCCCTAGTTGCTGAATAGATGCCCGGTAAAGATAAACTGGCTGGATTGAGAACGTGAGAAAAAAGTTTATAACTGATCCTTCTGAGGGTAAGCCAATAACTTCACAAAGTGATCAAACAGAAAGATGTAATTGAAATAACCAACTCAATTATCATGTTTATTAATTAAACCAATAATTGTTGTGGCCTTGCTACCAACTTCAGGGTTTTTTTTTTTTTCAGGAGCAAGTTCCATACATGAACAGTCTGTAACTAGTTTGCTTCACTCAGTATGGACATTCTTCAAACTCTGTGTAGCTAGTGTTATTCCATGCAGCAGAATAATGACTAATAACCCAACTCTGGCTCTCTAATTCCACATTTAATAACAGAAAGCTCAGTGTTCTTGCAACACCAGGTAACGCCGGCTTGTCTGGGCAAACAGTTTTCTCACTTTATGTGAATTCTTGTCATGCAGTGCACACATGCACACTTCCAAAGTGAACGTGAGGAATCATAACCCAGAGTGTAATAGTATTGAAAAAGAAAGGGGGGGGGGACAGTGTTTTTCTTCAAACTGCTCTGAGATGCAGCGGTACTTTGTTGTATTTGGCAATGGAAACAAAACCCGACATAACAACAAACTATCGTTTTACAAAGTACACATCTCCCCTGACAAGTCTGACACCTTATCTGCCATAATTACAACAGGAAGTGTATTAATAGGCTTTCAAGAGGGACTAGACTGCTTAAGTAAAGAAGTAGGTGCACTTAGTTTTTGTATTTGGTAAACAAAGCAGGCTCTTGAAGTGGTTTTGGATGATTCAAGTGAGTTTTAGTTTTACCTGTAAGTAATAGATTGCATTTGTGGGTTAGTACATTTTGAAGTAAGCGCTTTATCTGAGAAAGTTGGGATCCGATTTATGATATTGCAAATCGAGTGGCCACGTTTCATCTTCCAGTGTTCGCAGCTGAAGTATCACCTGGTCTTAGCATGAGTTCAAGTTGCAAATAATGATAACATCCCAGTCCATTGAGCTTACTTTCCCCAGAAATGCCCACAATGCTCATAATCAAGGCCAATTTGGTTGCCCTGGTCCATTCACAAATGCAAAGTGTTTTCCCCCCACCACGCACCCAAATTGGAAAATGTGTGCCCCATATATGGTGTAAAGCCATTAATCAAGTTAAGCCTTGGGAGGACTCAAGTAAGGTTTTCTCTATTAAAAATTGTCTAACAAATAAGTCAAAGGAATCTGTCTGCCAATTTCAATATGCATTCACAGGTACAAAGCCACGAACCAAATTGGCACGAGCATTGATTGTTTTCCAGCGCAGCCTTTCAGCATCTGTCTGCTCCCTCGCAGTTTGAGTTTTTCCCATCAGATCTGAGTTCTCTCTGAAGTGCATTCAAAGCAGACACCTAGTTTAAATTATCTCGGTTTGTTTAAATATTTTACGCTTTGATACACCCATTGTATCCTGCAGAAAATGCATGGGAAACTAGTACGGATGTGTGTGTGTATATGTACCTTCAAGCGTTAATGCAGAATTGTATTGTCTCCAGAAAATTGACAAAAACAAATGAAGGAATAATTGAATTGGGAATTCTTCTGCATTGAGCTCATCAGAGAGCAAGGACTTTTAGAAATTCATTGAGTGTTTTTTTTTTTCTGGGGCATTTTTAGTTTAGTCAAACCTTTCTCTTGTATGTCCAAGTGATCCAGCATATTTTTGTTATTGATTCGTCGTGGATGTGGGGAGTCTTGCAGTTGAATGCAAGATGTACTTCTGGAATTGCATT